CGATGTGATCGAACTCAAGATTTTTACCCCCTCCGTTCGCTCGTAGTGTAGCCTGTACACTGCGATGACTATTCTTAGACGAAAACTATCTCCAAGTTTTAATTGAAAGGCAAAATTAGCTCTTTAGAGACAAGCGTTCAATCATAATAAACCGATCGATCGACTACTGCGATAATATGAGCAAAAGAGATCTTAGGACCTACCATCGTCCAGAGGTGATACACAAGGAAATCCCTCAATCTCTTTCCCTTTTTCTTCTCCTGTAGAGACGCTAGTTAAAAGAACTGGAGAGGAACCATATTTTGTCCTCCCTTCCATGATAATTCACGGCATTAACCATGCCGAAAATGAGACAATATAAAGGCCATCGATCTTCCTAATCTACTCAGACGGTTGGAGATGTATGATTCCAAAATGAGCAGCAAAATGCTGATCATATTTTTAACAGAGAAGGGCATGGGGTAGAGCAAAAATGTAAAAACTACTAGGGAGCTGTGAGGAACATTGGGAACTTGTGACGGGAGCTGTGAGTTTAAATACTTCCGAAACATAATAATTTTTTCATGTTCTTAGATTTATCTTTTACACATTTAATTCTATCAAAAGCCTTAAATATAGAGCTCACGTTAGAGATCACGTTTCAGTTTCTTGGGAATCTTATTTTAGCCTGAAATCTTCCTTCTCTTGGGGTGAGGGTAGCGGTACTTTCCCCGTTGGCCGTGACGGTACAGAGGGATCTGGAAACAACATGACGATCAGGAGACATACACATCTCATATAGATGGAAGAGAAGAAAAATATTTGATCAATTTGCTGTACTTTTATTTTCTTCTTGATTGCTGTCATTTTCTCTTTGAAAGAAACCGTTTGGCTAACACGCGGATATACGAATACTTGTCCTGCATTTTTGTGAGCTTGTAAAATATTCTCAGTGCAAGTGCACGCACACTAAACACAAAGGTCAATTTACGTAATACCCTTCTTTAGAAAATTGGGAGCGTGTTTGGGAATTCTCTTCGTTTGAGCTCATCGAAGGATTTTCAAGTGGTTCCTTGTGATGTCTTACATTCGCATTTTGGGAGGTACTGCAGCCGTGAGCGGTGGACTTTATGCATTTTATAGATTTCGTGACAAGAAACAACAGGTATGTAAAATGAGATAGTTTACAGTTCCCTAACCTCTTTTCGCTTCCATGCTTTTCAATGTTCGTTTGAAATGGGTTTGTTCACTAACCTGTTTAGTGCACGTGCATCGTGCAATTCAGATCTACTAGCTTCAAGCCTTGAATAGCCACATTCAATATGTTAAAATTCAGCCTAGAACAAGCAGAATTCTCATCCAAAAGTAGTTGTAGGAAGGGACAGTATAGTGAGTGCCCCCGCTCCCCCGACCTCATAAGCAGTCTTTGTGTGGTAAACCGATGTGGAGTTTTGGGGCTTATTTTCCAGAGACTCATAGTGGTATCTATTGTTTCTAGCTGAAAGTTAAGATAAAGTTAGGCCATTGTTCTTTCATCATTTTTTTTCTGTTTTCTGCATGTTTGTGTGTTGCAAAATTATGAGATGGATGGTCCCCTTAATAGTCTACACTTAAGCCATAACCTGCACCCACAATATTGTCTACAGTTCCCATTTTCAAGTAGCAGAGATGTCGTTAAGAGCCGGCTGCCAGCTAATTTCACCAGCTGAAAAAGAGCTTACCACCAGCTCAAATTACAAACGAAAACAAAGTTGCAGTTGAGTAAAAAAGCCGGCTTGACTAATAAAAAAGCCTGCTTATCCTTTCCTTAGCTACATCCCTGCTGTAAGGCTGTAGAGATGAGTGGTTTAATTACTATGATAAGCAACTGTCTTTGTGTTAAATAATGTACAGAAGGGGCAAAAGGGAGTGGTAGCAAAGGCACAAANGTAGGAAGGGACAGTATAGTGAGTGCCCCCGCTCCCCCGACCTCATAAGCAGTCTTTGTGTGGTAAACCGATGTGGAGTTTTGGGGCTTATTTTCCAGAGACTCATAGTGGTATCTATTGTTTCTAGCTGAAAGTTAAGATAAAGTTAGGCCATTGTTCTTTCATCATTTTTTTTCTGTTTTCTGCATGTTTGTGTGTTGCAAAATTATGAGATGGATGGTCCCCTTAATAGTCTACACTTAAGCCATAACCTGCACCCACAATATTGTCTACAGTTCCCATTTTCAAGTAGCAGAGATGTCGTTAAGAGCCGGCTGCCAGCTAATTTCACCAGCTGAAAAAGAGCTTACCACCAGCTCAAATTACAAACGAAAACAAAGTTGCAGTTGAGTAAAAAAGCCGGCTTGACTAATAAAAAAGCCTGCTTATCCTTTCCTTAGCTACATCCCTGCTGTAAGGCTGTAGAGATGAGTGGTTTAATTACTATGATAAGCAACTGTCTTTGTGTTAAATAATGTACAGAAGGGGCAAAAGGGAGTGGTAGCAAAGGCACAAAAAAAATACTTTCTCTCACTTGCCTTTGAATCTAACCCCTCCCCCTGATTCCCTCAGTAGATTTGATACTCCATTCCAGGATACTCAGTGTATGGTTCCACCATTATATTAAACTTTCATAACGATGATCAGATTCTGGCATGTTATGTGCTTCCAGCAACTTTGAAGAATCTTGTGATTCACACAAGTGGAAGCAAAGGGAACACATGTCAAGGCTGTGCTCTTACGAAAATTGAAGGGAGCCCAGTGCTTTGAACCTGTAAAATCCAGGGTGCCCAGCATATGATTTGTACGAAAAATCTGAGATTTTCTAGTCACCCGAGAGAAAAGTTTAGCGCTAGGGGCCACCGGGCTCTGCTGGAGCACAGCCCTGCATGTCCAAATTAGTTTAGTTTAGTTTAGTTTGTGACCCTGCCAATTTGGCAGGGTCACCACAACAGTATAAAGTCAATAACTACTGTAAGCCCTTAATGGTCCCCTTCACATTATGAGACATAGACCACTCCACTAGGATCTCTGTCCCTTACTCTTCTCAAACAACAGTGTGGGTTCCTAACCCTCCCGGCCACCTTCTTTCAACAAATTATTATCAAGTGCAAGTGCTGATGTGCACAAGAATATGTTAGTGACATCGCATTTTTGTTGTTGCAGAACCCTTTATTATCCCCGGTTATTGCTGCAGAAAAGACAGTTGTAGGACAACCAAATAACCCTCTTCCTTCAAGATCTGTTCACATCAATGCTTTGAAGAACACACCTAAATTTGATGTTTTGGTGATCGGTGGTGGCGCTTCTGGTTGTGGAGTAGCTCTTGATGCTGTGACCAGGGGTAAACAAGAATTTATTTTAATATATATAGTAAAAAATCCATTTGGCCAGGAGTCTGTTCAGTTACACAGGAAAAAATAACAAATTCCTAATTCTGGATATTTTAGGGTATTTAAAGAATACCCACAAAAATCCCAAATTTGAAAGAGTGAGACAAGTCCCAACCAGGGAACTTGGTTGGGAATTCCCTGGTTGGGACTTGTCTCTCTTTGCCAAATTTGGGATTTTTATGGGTATTCTTTAAATACCCTAAAATATCCAAGAATGGGAATCTGTTATTTTTTCCTGTGTTATAGATCACAGATGGCGTCACCTTGCAGAGCAATCTTTGTTGAGCATGCAAAGCATGTTGCTAGGACATAGATTCCAACTGAGGCCAAGGTGTACTTGCTACAGAGGGCTTGGTTATAATCATCCATTTATAAATAAATGGATGCTCATGCTAAAAAAAAGAAAACAGTTTGATGAGAGAGAATAAGATTGACTAGTCCAGAAGTTTTGTTTGCGGCAACCTCCAAGGTTTGATGTGATTCAGGCAGAGCCTCGTTTTTTCTCCTCACTTAAGAAATAGACGAAATTGGAGGTGTGTGTGGCCAAGTGGTTAACATCTCAAACTCCGGATCTAGAGGTCTGGGTTTCAAGCCATTGTTTCCTTAAACAAGGAACTTTACTCCACTTTGTCTGTCTTCAAAAAAGTGGCCAATGTCAGCTCAGTCATCTTTCTTTGTAAATAGTGTAATTCTGGTTTTGTGCTTGTATGGCATCAGTGAAGGTAAAATAATTTTTAATTCTTTTTCTGTTCTTAATGCCTATTATTATTAACACTCCATTGTGGTTCCTTCCATGAATGTTACAATGCATGTACCTTATATTGCACTTTTGAATGATGATGATGATGATGTTGGTGGTGGTGGTGGTGGTGGTGGTGGTGGTGTTAAGAGATAATAATAAAGGGTGATTTTGATTGATTTATAGGCCTGAGCACAGCTTTGGTGGAAAGGGATGATTTTGCATCTGGGACTAGCAGTCGTAGTACCAAACTAATTCATGGAGGGGTGCGTTATCTACAGAAAGCCATTATGCAGTTGGATAGGGAACAGGTAATTTGCATGTTAAGTGCAAAAATATACTTCCATTGAATTATGCAAGAAGATAAATTGTCAACTTTTATTTTATTGGTGGCATTTTTTGCACCAGTTTTTAGATTATTGATATACCCAATGTAAGTTATTTCTTTTGTTTTGTGTTGACAGTATCGCCTTGTAAAGGAGGCACTGCATGAAAGAGCCAACTTGTTGGCTATTGCCCCACACTTATCAGCTCCTTTGCCAATCATGCTTCCCGTTTACAGGCAAGTGATGTTAACTGTTCATTGAAATTATTACATGTACAGTTAAACCCTGTTAATACAGACACTGAGGGGGCCATAAAAAATGTCCTTTTTTAACAGGGTGTCCATCTTTAGTGCATTGAATTTAGAGGAAATTTAGGGGCTTTCTAACTGTCCCCAATGACAAATTAACTATCCAAAATAATGGACTGTCTACCTTAAGTAAATGTCCGTAAAGTGGGATTTCACTGTACCTGGTATCTTAAATATCGCTTGATTTTCAAATCATAATCAATTCCCATGAAGTTATTTTAATGACCAGAGTTAGCCAAAGGTTTGAGTTACTGAGAGTAAAATTACAGTGAATGTATGAAGGAAATCCAGGAGAAATCAACTTTGGTTTGAGTTAGCACGAGGTTCAATTTAGTGAGGGATTTAAGTTATCGGGAGTCACCTACATGTATTTCTCACAGCAACAGTAATATGATAGTCATATTAAAAATAATAACATTTTTATTTTCATTAAAAATTAACTAAATTTGTACTTTTTTTCAGATGGTGGCAACTCCCTTACTTTTGGGCTGGAATCAAAATGTATGACCTTGTGTCAGGTCGTCAACTTCTCAAGAGTAGCTATGTTGTTGGAAAAAAGAAGGCTTTGGAGCTCTTTCCAATGCNAGATGGTGGCAACTCCCTTACTTTTGGGCTGGAATCAAAATGTATGACCTTGTGTCAGGTCGTCAACTTCTCAAGAGTAGCTATGTTGTTGGAAAAAAGAAGGCTTTGGAGCTCTTTCCAATGCTTAAAAAGGACAAATTGTGTGGAGCAATTATTTATTATGATGGTGAGTCATGGACCAAATTTGAAGATAGGGAGCTCTTTTATATATGGCCAGTTACAATTTGCCTCTGAGACCAGCTTTCATCATACACTAGCTTACAATAAAGATGACCTGATTAAAGTGTACTTGTAAATTAAGCATGAAGTGCTGCTGGATGACACTGTTCTATGTCCACTCCTTTTCTGGAGAGAGCACCAAATTTTTACGTTCTCATTTGATTGCGGTAAAGGTCTCACTAGCTATTTCAAGGGCAGCTGGCAGTATGCTCTTTGTCTTTCAGTTATTTTAAGATTAGTTTAAGTCCCATTGCAGATTGATGTATTAATAACTTAGCTATCCCTGGCATGATCAACAAGTTCACTTTTGAAGAGATTAGCCAAACCCTGAAGTTTGCATTAGGGAGGTGTACTTTGCTTCATGCCAAGTTTACTTGCAGAAAAACAAGTGATACCCAGATAATCATTGATATAGAGCCTTAGAGAGCTTTAGATACAGAGTTTTGCAGGCTACAAACAAACAGGTGTTTTCATCATCACCTCTTAACCTTTGCTGTCTGGTAACAATGATCTAAATTATTGTTGTGAACGGAGGGCCATTCAAGGCTACTACCATTTTGTATGCTGAAAAGACAGAAAGATCAGTACTTTTAATTCCAAAAGGATTTTTTTGAGAAACCTGAAAGTTGACTTATATTTTCCTTTTTAATGAAAGGTTTATTACATGTAATTTTTAAGGACAACATGATGATGCAAGAATGAACCTCGCTATCGCACTTACTGCTGTGAGGCATGGGGCATCTGTGGCCAATCACGTGGAAGTATTGTCTCTTCTTAAAAGAAAGGGTAGGAACCAATAGAGCATACTAAGCACTGACACCTCTGAAAACAGTTTATTTTGCTTTTTATGAGTCGCAATTTTTCCTGAGGGGAAGCCAAGAGAGACATAGAGTTTCTAGGGGAACAAAATTTATTTATCTCCCAAGGGACCAGGGTCATTAAGACCCCCTTCACTTATTTTTGAAAACGGAGATTTTTTCTCCATTTTAACCTAAACTTCCTTCTACGCGTAAACCGCAATTTCCGGCACCAAAAACTATGGTTTCCCAAAAAGGTCCTCAGAGTGGACCTTGTTGAAAACGCTGGCTTCTTGTTTACGTGTGAACGGACGGGTACATAGGTTTTGGAATACGATGATGTCATCATAAGGGACAGTTACTACATTTTAATATGGTCGCTGTGCGACTACCTCGTGTGAACGGACGGAACCGTAGGTTTTCGAATACGATGATGTCATCATAAGGAGCAGTTACTACATTTAAACAAGGTCGCCGTGCGACCACCTCGTGTGAACGGACGGAAACGTGGGTTTTCGAATACGATGATGTCATCATAAAGAGCAGTTACCACATTTAAATACCGTCGCTGTGCGACCACCTCCTACAAGGAAAGCTTTCGTAAACGACCACCTCCCGCAAGCGACTGCGGCGACCAGTGTTCAATTTGGGCTGATGGTTTAATGATTTTCCATTGTTTTTAACCTCTTTTAAGTGACCACTAGACGAATTATCTGATCTCCATGTTCGCGCTGTGTGTACTTACAGGAGGTTTGACTCTACCCTATTTTCTGGGGCAGCAATTAATAATTATAGCATGTCTCCTTTCAATCGACTTAATCCAAGCAAAAAAAGCTATGCAACTTTCAATGAACGTTTTTCTACAGAAGAAGGCAAAGAGGATGAAGTAGTTTGTGGGGCTCACGTTCGTGACGTGATTACTGGCGAGGAATTTGATGTGCAAGCAAAGTGCGTCGTCAATGCCACAGGACCCTTTACTGACGCAATACGAAAGATGGACGATCCAACAGAGAAGAATATCTGCCAGCCAAGCTCCGGGGTGCACATCGTACTCCCAGAATACTACAGGTACTGTAGGCTGAGAAAACACACGACGCCAAGTGGTCTCCTCGCGAAACGAGTCCAGAAATTCCATACTGATGACGTGTCACTACCCAGATCAGGGTAGTGCTTTTGATTCGTTGATGCAAATTTCCTTCGTGGCACGACCAATCAGAAGCGCCACCCAGTTATGGGTACTGATACGTCATCAGTATGGAATTTCTGCACTCGTTTCTCAGACGTCATTTCGCGGAGAAACCATTGGTAACGTCTCGAAATGTCGGCTGTTTCCTTGGACTGCAGCCGCCAGTTGTTCAAAACGCGGATAGTGCTATTCTCCGGAGAAATCTCCATCCACTGGATAGCGTAATTGTTTTTCCTACTATTGTTCGTTCTTTAAGCCAAGTATATGTACGTGAAACTATTTACACCTCGACTGAATAAACTTGTATCTTAACGATTCTAATCGGAATGACTCTGGATCGAAACGACCGATAGGACCTCGCTCAAGCATTGGAATTATTACACAAAAACATTTCGATCACTTCAGTAGAATAAAGTCAACATGCACATCTTTGAAGGCTTCCGATCGTTTCGCTACAAAGTTTTTCGCCACATTTTACAGCATAATATTTCAGCTAATCGGGTTTCAGTTTGAAAGAGAGTGCTAGTTTCAACTTAGAACTTGACGCAAGTAACTCGGAAAAATAGCTAGCTTGACGGACTAGCTACCACGAGTGTCTTGTAGCTAAGTGTTAGAGCATTTGAACTGGCAACCAGAATGTCAACTCCAGTGGATAGATATCGATTTTGTTTTGTCTTTGTGCCCTGTGTCACTGACAAAAAAATAACCAGTTCATTCTGTTTTGAAAGAAACTAATCATGCTTTTTACTTTCATTTTAGTCCAAAAGATATGGGTCTTCTGGATCCAGCGACGAGCGATGGACGAGTCATCTTCTTCCTTCCTTGGGAAGGTGAGATGTATAAGTCTTACTGAAAGTTAGAAGGCCTGACTACGAGTAGTCCCCCATTTTTCCTCAGGGATAGCAGAGCGAGCGAAAGGCGAGCGTGCGTGAAAATCACCCCACGCGAGAGAAAAGGCGACACGCGTTCCGCTCGCTCTACTATCCCGGAGGAAAAATGGGGGACTACTCGTAGTCTATAGAAGGCCTTACTATGGGTGCCTTTTGCTGTTGTTTTTGTATTGTTTTGTTTTATTTCCAAAAGGAAGTAGCAAGTTATGGAATCATCAGTGTACTATTGAGTTTTTCTGTTTAATGCGTCTCGGAAATACGATATTACAGCCAACCATTGATATTTTTAAAATCGTTTCCTTGTCATTTGTAGGAAAAACAATCGCTGGTACAACGGACTCCCCAACAGAACTGTCGCCCAACCCGGCCCCAAAAGAAGCCGAGATTCAGTTTATTCTTAGTGAAATCAAGCATTACCTTACTGAAGATTTAGAAGGTAAGAGTCCCAAACCAGTAAGCAGTTTCTCTAAGATATGCCTGACAGGATCCTTGCCTCCTGTGTAGACGCTTTTTAGAATTTGTCACGCATTATACCTTTTCAAGGTCATACGAAAATCGCTCTATCAATGCTTTGTTGCAGTTCGTCGTGGTGATGTACAAGCGGCGTGGAGTGGTATCCGACCTTTGGTCATAGACCCGAACTCTAAAAATACCGCTTCAATCGCCCGCAATCACCTGATTTTGGTCAGCAAAAGTGGACTAGTAACGATTGCTGGAGGCAAATGGACCACCTACCGCTCCATGGCAACAGATACCATGGAAGCCGCTATTAAAGCTCGCGGGCTCCAGCCTGCTAGGAATTGTCAGACCGACGGACTGTTCCTCGAGGGAGGAGAGGGTTATACGTCAAATTATTTCATCCGACTTGTACAGGATTATGGTCTTGATGTTGAGGTTCGTCTAATGGCTGATTTATATACCCCTCATTTGATACTTTGATGTATGATTAGATAAGTCCAGATATTTTGAGTTGTCACATCTTTTGCTTTAAAAATCATACAAGGGCTACAGAGCGCCCTCAGTCGCTCGAAAAATATGCCTACACGGAATGCTAATCCTGAGCGTGCGCACTGATGTTTTGATTTCCTACTCTATCTAACCAGTCGAACTGGAGTAGTCCATGTTGAAACTGGTTTGAATTCGAATACTGCATTGGACTCCTAGTAAAGTGCACTCTGTTTTAGTTAACAGACTTGAAACCATTGAAGAGTTTGATGGTGCAGAAGAGAGACGGCGTTTTGCCGCATGATGCCTCGCGCCTATACATCGTTTCGAATAAAAATGATTCATACAAAAAGGGGTCAACTGGGGGGGCAAAAGAGGTCAAACGAACTTTTAGTAGTCGCAAAACAAACAGTTACTACCCTGGGTAGCCGGTTATATATAGCGCGCGTAAGGTAACAAGATCGTGAGTGAGGAAACTATGAGGAGAATTTCAGTTTGTTTATTTAACAGTCGGCTGGTCAACTGGTTCAAAAAAAAAAATTGTAAAGTTTGCTTACCTGAGATCAGGCCCAACGTTATCAACTTGCGTTCGCCGAAAATTTACATGCCAAGCCAGACGAAAAAAAGAGATTGTCTCAGGTTTTGTTGTTCTTTTTTGTGGGCTAAACTGGTCAAGTCCTGGTTGCTTGTTGATGATAAACGCAAACTTAACATGAATTCCATTTCTGTTAAACAGGTTGCCAAGCATCTCGCTCATTCTTACGGAACCAAAGCACCGGAAGTCATTAAACTAGCCAAAGTAACCGGAAGTCGTTGGCCAGTCTTGGGAAAGCGTCTTGTAGATGAATTTCCATATATTGAAGCGGAAATTCGCTACGGTGTACAGGAGTACGCATGCACGATTGTAGACTTCCTTGCCAGGAGAACACGACTTGCGTTTTTGAATGCTCAAGCAGCTGCCGATGCCATTCCGAAGATTGCCGACATCATGGCGAAGGAACTGAACTGGTCCAAGGCCAAGAAAGAGGTAATGTTAATATATTTGTGCAAACCTGTTGAAGGGGGTGGGGCGGGAGAGGGGGGGGATGACTGAAGGCAAGGCAGGTGGACGTTAGGAGAAATTTATCCTCGATGACCTCCTTACATTGGGCTTCGTCTGTTCCACACGTGAAGTGGGTGGTTAAGATTTGTGTCTTCCATGCAAGTGAAACCTTTTATACCGTAATGGTCTCTATGTGGAAACTGCAATCGGCGACAAAATGAGTTTAGACGCCGCAAAAGGACCTTTCTGACGTGTTGCCGTCTTAAAAAGGCGAAAATCAAGCTTTCCCTCTCCCATCCCCTCCATACAATGTCGCGCTGCTGTTCGAGCTAGGAGACAACAAACATCCCAACTTTGAATGGAGGGGCTCGATTCCCAGCGGAGTTCAGATAAGATGTTCTCTGCCTCGCGTTCTTTTCTCTTGTATGATCCTCATGCATTGATCACCAAAGTTATAAGTCTTCTTTATTTTTAGGCCGAGATCAAAGAAGCCCGGACATTTCTCGATACTGGTATGGGATTGGACGTTCATGAACACGTACGGCGCGTGGAGGTGAATTTCAACGACGAGGAAGTCAAGCAATACGAGAAGATGTTTGAGAAAATTACCAAATCCAAGCGAGGATGTTTGAACTCGTTTGACTTGAGAAACATGTTGAAGGAGATGGGAGAGGAGGTATCTGACAAGCAACTTCATGAGCTTATAGCTGAAGTGGATATTAATAAGAATTCATGTGTGGACCTGGATGAGTTTCTACAGGTTAGTTACTGAAAATCCTAATATCAATATACAGATTCTCCAAACTGTTCCGCCCTGCTACATTTAATACTAATGTGGGGAACTTGCTTAACAATCGAGACCTTTTGTGCTCGCTGATCATTTCCTGGATTCTCATGAACTATACTTTTGTTTTAGTGGTGATACTGATGGGAGAAATTAGATTCTTGTCACTTTTCAGTGTTACAGGGAGACGTCGTGACCCTGTAACCCCCACAGAGATTAGTGCGACGTGGACTCACAATCTTGTAGCTGGTTGTTTTGTTGGAGAGAGCGTTGAAGCCGCGAGTAGAACGAGGCGGAATCAACGAGAACAACAATAACAATGGTTTTTCTTTTCTTGTGGCCTCGCCGCTTGAAGCCCGCGCGAACTTTCATAACTTCACCGCTCGTTTGCGCTCATTTGCGCGCTCGCCAGACAAAATCGCCAGCTACGCAGGCTAGCAATCCGGAGATCATAAGACCGAGTCTTGCTCTGACCATTCGCTGTGTTATTGGCGGTCTGCTTGTTAATACTGAACCAATTGTTTGCATCGTGCCGGGTGACGTTTTTACTCCTGTATTTGGGCAATAGGAGAGCATAAAAAGACCATTATCCTCTCTTGATTTGGGTTATTTGTTTCAACTTATCGAGGTTGCGTGCTCTGACGTTGCTTAATCCTGTAATATATAAGACCCACAAAATCCACGGTGGTATACTTCCTAGATTCAAAAGGCGTCATCTCTAGCCCGCTTAGCACGAGTCGGATTTTAGAGCGGACGAAGAAACTTCGAGGACGCGCGCACGCACGAAAGGAAAAAGGAAGGAGCGGCCTCCCCTCTCCTTTGCGTGTTCCCCTCGCGCGTCCTATAAAAACTAACCAAATAAACCGTCGCCTGTCACGCAGGCAACGTCGTCTCTGGTTGCAGGGGAAACTATAATTTTACTCTCTGAGTCCAGCGCGGGAGAGAAATTTGGGATGGACATTTCATTACATTTACTCAGATTTTGTCAAAATCAACATTTGGTGAATGCTTTTATTACTGTTTAGCTGATGAGCGCTCTAAAGACAGGAGCTGTAGCCAACAATCGTTTTGCGGTCATCATCGATCGACATCACAAACATTTAACAGAACAGATACCTGTGGACAGGAGCGGCGGTGGAGTATGACGTCATTAGGTCATGTGACTTGGCACTGGCTTCCTGATTGAGTAGATGGACAGTGAATGTATAACGCGACTACTAACGACATGTTTGAAACACCAAGCGTCCTAAAAACAAGGGCTTAATGTATTGTTTAATTGCACGGTGCTTTACAGGGTCATAAGTGGGTCCTGACCTCGCTCACAGGGGCGGTATGAATAAACTAGACTCCTTTGAAGTTTATTGATTTACTTTGCAAACTGGTGCTCCTTAATTGAAGAGGAATTGCTAAATTTACAAGACAATTCAACAGGATATAAAATCGTAAATTATTCGCCTTGTGCCAAACTCGAAAAAAATTCGCATCTGTCGTGACCTCAGTTTAATTAAACTGTTCACAGTCCCCTATTTTTCCGTAAGGTCGTTGAGATCGATCACCTTGCCCTACGGGTGGCCGATGGCGACCTTGGTTTCAGATGTTCCAAGAAGTTTTTAGCCCTGGGACAAGTGTCAAATCTACTTAGGAGGCGGAGGACGGTTTGCGAGGAGAAGAGAGAAATTCTCGCCTCCACCCCTTCCCCCCTCGGTACATATGCAACCAAGATGGTCGCCGGTACCGATAGGCGCTCCATACCGACGACGTTACGAAAAAATAGGGGACCGTGAACAGTCTATAGTTTAATTCGTTATTGTGTTATACCTTTAGAGATAATGCACTTCATAACAAATGCTTCCAAACGTCTTTGTTAAAGCTGACAGGGTTAAAATAAGTTTTAAAGATTTCGAATGAGGACATTTTCAAAGTGGGACCTTTCAGAATTTTCATACAGAACCCCCAGGGACGCAAAAAGATGAATTTGCCACCGTCGTAGCAAATTAAATACAATGAATTTATTTACAAGAATCCTTTATTCCAAATACTATATAAATAGCAATCATACAAATAGTAACAAAATATTATAACAACACTGAGACAGGGAGAAATCACTGTAACCCTGGCCTTCCCTTTGCCCTAATTGTTAAGAAGTTTTGGGGAAGAGGTTGCTGAAATCTTTTGAGCTCTGATGGTGATTTCTTCTGGTGAATGCTCGGGAATTTACATCGAAACAATGGCATGGCAACCACAACGACAGGTTAAAAAAAGAATTTGTTTTATAAAACTTAATTCAAAATTAGGTGCTAGTTTGGCCCAGGTTCATCTCGACCCAGATCACCGCCCACAGACAGAATCCAAGGCAATCTGGGTACAGGATTGTAATGTTTTTCGAAGGATTGAGAGTTGATCTGAATTTTCCTTCTCCACAGTTTGTGTTTATTACTAAGATAGTACTTTAAGCGCGTTTTCTTTCTATTTAATTCTATTTTTCATAGCAGGGTAGTGTAAAGAAAAGTATTTATTTCTGTTTGCCTTTGTGGTAGTAACAATAAACGTTGTCTTGGTGTTTGCAACTCGTTGTATGAATTGTCGGTAAGCAATGTAGTTCAGTCGATTCATGAATGTTTGCAGCCATTCTTCGGGTCTTTATTGTATTTTTTAAACCACATATCCTGAGAAAACAGCCGACATTTGGCGACACCACCACTGGTTTCTTCGCGAAATGACGTCATTCTCCTCACCAGATCCTCCTGGAGGCCTGAGCAAGAGCACCAGGAGGCTCTGGGGACACAGGATTTGAAGTCCTAGATTTTAGGACTTCCGGTCATTTCCGATTCAAAAGTAAGTTGGAGGATTCTCTTTTAAAAGCTTTGAATCACCTAAATTTACAGTCGTTGACACTTCTGCAAGAGCAAGTGAAAGCTATTTTAAAAGTGTTGTAGAAAATCAGAAATGACCGGAAGTGCTAAAATCTACGACTTCAAATCCTGTGTCCCTAGAGCCTCCTGGTCTGTCCTGGTCCTCCTACTCAGGCCCCTAGGAGGCTCTGGGAACGAGAATGGAAATGACGAGATGTTCGTAGTGGCGGGAACAAGTTATCAAATGAAAGAAGTTTATCATTTTGCTATCGGGAGAGGGCTTAACCGCTGTTGTTTCTATTCCAAGACTGTAAGCTCTTAACAAAACAAAACAAAACAATACTATCTCGACAAATCTCGACAAGTCTCGAGTCAAGTTCCATCCAAGAGTCCGAGTTCAACAACAACATCACATGACATAAACACGTGATAATTGTCACGACGTACATAATGTAACGCAACTCGAAATGTCTGTGTTACAGGGAGACGTCGTGACCCTGTAACCCCCACAGAGATTAGTGCGACGTGGACTCACAATCTTGTAGCTGGTTGTTTTGTTGGAGAGAGCGTTGAAGCCGCGAGTAGAACGAGGCGGAATCAACGAGAACAACAATAACAATGGTTTTTCTTTTCTTGTGGCCTCGCCGCTTGAAGCCCGCGCGAACTTTCATAACTTCACCGCTCGTTTGCGCTCATTTGCGCGCTCGCCAGACAAAATCGCCAGCTACGCAGGCTAGCAATCCGGAGATCATAAGACCGAGTCTTGCTCTGACCATTCGCTGTGTTATTGGCGGTCTGCTTGTTAATACTGAACCAATTGTTTGCATCGTGCCGGGTGACGTTTTTACTCCTGTATTTGGGCAATAGGAGAGCATAAAAAGACCATTATCCTCTCTTGATTTGGGTTATTTGTTTCAACTTATCGAGGTTGCGTGCTCTGACGTTGCTTAATCCTGTAATATATAAGACCCACAAAATCCACGGTGGTATACTTCCTAGATTCAAAAGGCGTCATCTCTAGCCCGCTTAGCACGAGTCGGATTTTAGAGCGGACGAAGAAACTTCGAGGACGCGCGCACGCACGAAAGGAAAAAGGAAGGAGCGGCCTCCCCTCTCCTTTGCGTGTTCCCCTCGCGCGTCCTATAAAAACTAACCAAATAAACCGTCGCCTGTCACGCAGGCAACGTCGTCTCTGGTTGCAGGGGAAACTATAATTTTACTCTCTGAGTCCAGCGCGGGAGAGAAATTTGGGATGGACATTTCATTACATTTACTCAGATTTTGTCAAAATCAACATTTGGTGAATGCTTTTATTACTGTTTAGCTGATGAGCGCTCTAAAGACAGGAGCTGTAGCCAACAATCGTTTTGCGGTCATCATCGATCGACATCACAAACATTTAACAGAACAGATACCTGTGGACAGGAGCGGCGGTGGAGTATGACGTCATTAGGTCATGTGACTTGGCACTGGCTTCCTGATTGAGTAGATGGACAGTGAATGTATAACGCGACTACTAACGACATGTTTGAAACACCAAGCGTCCTAAAAACAAGGGCTTAATGTATTGTTTAATTGCACGGTGCTTTACAGGGTCATAAGTGGGTCCTGACCTCGCTCACAGGGGCGGTATGAATAAACTAGACTCCTTTGAAGTTTATTGATTTACTTTGCAAACTGGTGCTCCTTAATTGAAGAGGAATTGCTAAATTTACAAGACAATTCAACAGGATATAAAATCGTAAATTATTCGCCTTGTGCCAAACTCGAAAAAAATTCGCATCTGTCGTGACCTCAGTTTAATTAAACTGTTCACAGTCCCCTATTTTTCCGTAAGGTCGTTGAGATCGATCACCTTGCCCTACGGGTGGCCGATGGCGACCTTGGTTTCAGATGTTCCAAGAAGTTTTTAGCCCTGGGACAAGTGTCAAATCTACTTAGGAGGCGGAGGACGGTTTGCGAGGAGAAGAGAGAAATTCTCGCCTCCACCCCTTCCCCCCTCGGTACATATGCAACCAAGATGGTCGCCGGTACCGATAGGCGCTCCATACCGACGACGTTACGAAAAAATAGGGGACCGTGAACAGTCTATAGTTTAATTCGTTATTGTGTTATACCTTTAGAGATAATGCACTTCATAACAAATGCTTCCAAACGTCTTTGTTAAAGCTGACAGGGTTGCAATAAGTTTTAAAGATTTCGAATGAGGACATTTTCAAAGTGGGACCTTTCAGAATTTTCATACAGAACCCCCAGGGACGCAAAAAGATGAATTTGCCACCGTCGTAGCAAATTAAATACAATGAATTTATTTACAAGAATCCTTTATTCCAAATACTATATAAATAGCAATCATACAAATAGTAACAAAATATTATAACAACACTGAGACAGGGAGAAATCACTGTAACCCTGGCCTTCCCTTTGCCCTAATTGTTAAGAAGTTTTGGGGAAGAGGTTGCTGAAATCTTTTGAGCTCTGATGGTGATTTCTTCTGGTGAATGCTCGGGAATTTACATCGAAACAATGGCATGGCAACCACAACGACAGGTTAAAAAAAGAATTTGTTTTATAAAACTTAATTCAAAATTAGGTGCTAGTTTGGCCCAGGTTCATCTCGACCCAGATCACCGCCCACAGACAGAATCCAAGGCAATCTGGGTACAGGATTGTAATGTTTTTCGAAGGATTGAGAGTTGATCTGAATTTTCCTTCTCCACAGTTTGTGTTTATTACTAAGATAGTACTTTAAGCGCGTTTTCTTTCTATTTAATTCTATTTTTCATAGCAGGGTAGTGTAAAGAAAAGTATTTATTTCTGTTTGCCTTTGTGGTAGTAACAATAAACGTTGTCTTGGTGTTTGCAACTCGTTGTATGAATTGTCGGTAAGCAATGTAGTTCAGTCGATTCATGAATGTTTGCAGCCATTCTTCGGGTCTTTATTGTATTTTTTAAACCACATATCCTGAGAAAACAGCCGACATTTGGCGACACCACCACTGGTTTCTTCGCGAAATGACGTCATTCTCCTCACCAGATCCTCCTGGAGGCCTGAGCAAGAGCACCAGGAGGCTCTGGGGACACAGGATTTGAAGTCCTAGATTTTAGGACTTCCGGTCATTTCCGATTCAAAAGTAAGTTGGAGGATTCTCTTTTAAAAGCTTTGAATCACCTAAATTTACAGTCGTTGACACTTCTGCAAGAGCAAGTGAAAGCTATTTTAAAAGTGTTGTAGAAAATCAGAAATGACCGGAAGTGCTAAAATCTACGACTTCAAATCCTGTGTCCCTAGA